TTTTTTTATTAATTTTTTTGTTTTTTTAATTTAATTTTTATATTTTTGTTTTTGTATTTTTTATTTATTTATTTATTATTTTGTTATTTAGTTATAATTCACTTCAAAAATATTACACAAATTACATTGTAACATATTTTAAATATAAGTATATTTTTATAAGCTGCTATATATATATATTACACTTCATTAGTGACACTTATATAAGAATTAAAAGTCAGTTAGACTAATAAAAAAAATTAATTTATTGTTTATATTCTGCTTACACAGGATGTAATCAGATTATTAATTCTTGCATAGTGTTATACACAAAGCATTTTTCAACAACAATGTTGTTGTTAATAAATTGCATAAATTAACAATCCTGCTAAGTGAAATATAGAATTGTTGAGTTTGTAATTTTATAATTTTAATGCAAAAATTAAAATTTATATAATGATTAAAATATAATCTGCTATGCAGGTTATAAATTCTTGCATGAATGTCATAGATTAAGTGTAATATACCTTTTTCAACAACAACATTGTTGTTGATTTTTTTATAACAGATTAATTACAGAAAAAAGTATATTTTATCTTTTAAAATTATAAAATACAAAATATCTACAAAGCAAAAAAAATTAATCAAAAGAAGTTGACTTTTTTATTCAAAATTTTATTTATATTACAGCAACACAAAACTTATTATTTAAAAGATAGATTACAAAAGAAGTTAAAAATATTTTAATAAGAACTCTTTTTAATGATTACTTAAATCAAACTTTTTTTTTTTAACTTTAGTAGTCATACTAGTACTTTATTAGAATTCTTAAAACTATACAAATTATATAAAATTTTTTTGATATATAAGTCTGCATTACTTAGCTATCCAAATAGTACCTAAGTATAATTTGTTACATTATCTTAGTTAGAGATAGACTGCTTATCTAACTGCTATCCTATAATAGAACATCACCAATCTAATGACATCTTTTTATAAGAAAACAAAAAACAAAAAAAATTTTTTTTTATATAGAAAACAAAACAAAAATATAGGGTAAATAATAAAAGATACAAATCAAGAAATAAAAGAGTATAAACAAAAAAAAAAAATATGTGAAACTTGTAATTTACAAATATTAGACAATTACAATTGTATGCCTATGTTAGACTTTTAAAAATTATAAACTATACTAAATAAAAATAACTCTACTATTTTTTTATTTACTTAGATTATTTAACAATAAACTATATAGAAAAGAAAAACTCTTCAACTTGATCATAAAGGATCAGTATAAAGCACTAGTTAGTCCAGAGGCAGTATTTTAGATTTTTAATATTTCGAGGCATATGTATAGTTATGTTTGTATTACTGTATTGTTTCTGATTTATGTCATCAACAAACCTGTTTAGAAAGTCAATTTTTAAGAAGAGATAAGCTAAATTGCCCACTTTTACAAAATTTTCTCGAAGCAAAGTAAAGGTGAGAAGTAAACCAACTTTGTAGCTTTTGTGAGTTCTTGACCTTTATAAGTGTTCTTTATAGGTTTTACAGTTGTATAGAATTAATATATTCAACTTTGTTGTTTACTTGATAAAAAACTTTGGCTTTTACTAACTACTTTTTCTATGTTTAAACCATTACTACAAAGTTGCAACTTTTTTTTCAACTCTATTTCAATATTCAATTATGCATATATAGTACTCTAAAAAAGTTTTTATAAAATTTAATATATTAACTATATCATTTTTTTGTAGTTTGGCTTTTTAAAAAGTTTTGAACCAAACTTTTTAAAAAGCCAAACTATAGAAAAATGATATAGTTAATATATTAAACTTTATGAAACCTTTCTAAAGTATTGTAAATGCATTATTGATATTAAAATAAAGTTGAAAAAAAGTCACAGTCTTGTAGTAATAGTTTAAAAAGCATTCTAAGACTATAGAAGAAGTAGTTAGTAAAAGCTAAAATTTCTTATTAAGTAAACAACAAAATTGGATATATTAGTTTTATACAACTTTAAAACTTACAAGAAACATTCACAAGGGGTGTGATGACATAGTGAAGTAGTCAGATTGTCAACTCCCAAGTGGCAGATCTAGAGTTCAAATCCTATAAATAATGAATTTTGAAAAATAGGTCCATGTTACAGTAACTGTCTTTGTCGATCGGTTGGATTGGTGTATCTGTAACCTTTGTTGCACCATCTTGAATAGGAGCTCAGGGCATCTATGCTAAGTGTAACATTACACCCACACAGAGGAATGTTAATAACCAGTGTTGCATAAGACTTCAGTGCAAATCCATAATAAGACCACTGGATACAGAAAACAAAGGAACTGAAGAGTTGTAAACCCACTTGAAAATCCCAAGTAAGAAGATAGCATAAAACTTTCAATAGTGCTGTTGGACTGATGGAAGCCCATGAAACACCCCCAAAGAGATAGGCAGATAAACTGGATGGCAAGATGTATAGAGAAGCACATGACCAACTAGGCTACCGAAATCACCAGAGGAAAAGAATACTAAGGTATACTATACTGGGCTATCTGAATTGAAAGTCTAAGAAGTTTTGTTGATCCTGAGTAGCAGTTAGTAGGGGATAATGGAGAAAATGTCAGAAAGATGGGTACTGGAGTTTTGGGTGAACCTTACAAGAGTAAAAGCGGTTTAATAATTAGCCCTAACTGCAAAAGATGGTTTAGGCCAAAGCATGACTAGATGAGCTGTAAGTATAGAATACAGAACTCACTAATAGGTTTAGTACAAGTTAAACATGACTTAGTGACCATGGCATATCTTCACTAGTTTATCAGAGTTGCTAGTAGGGTGTAGTAGATGCAGGATTAGAGTGTTTAAATAGAAAATCTACAGGTGGGTTCTAGGTATAGCAACTAGTGTAGAACCTTCAGGTGGACTACTTAAATTAGACAATGACTAAAGTTGTATGAGTGGCTAGTTGTATATTATTTTTGTAATTGCCTCTGCATCTGTACATGTATAGGCACTAGCCAACTTATACTATCAGTAAAATCTTGGGTCACATGTACTCACCTTAACATTTAAAAAAAAAAAAAAAAACACTCACAAAAGTTAAGAACTTACAAAAGCTAAATTTTGGTTCACCTAGCACTTTTACTTTTTTTGAGAAAAATTTTGTAAAAGTGAGTAATTTAGTTTACTCTTTCCTAAAGATCAATATATAAAATCATCAAAACAGTTAGCAGTATTTATTTTCTAAACAGGATTGTTAATAATATAGATTAGAAATAATACAGTAATACAAACATGACTATACTGTGTTTTTGAGCTGCTAAAAATCTGACAAACACTGCCTTTAGACTACCCAGTATTCTATGTCAATTCTTTACAATAAAATTAAAGTTTTTTTTTCTTTTTTAGTTTTTTGTATAAATAATCTAAGTAAATAGAAAAATAATAAAGTAATTTCTATTTAGTATAGTTTATAATTTTACAAGCCTAATACAGACTTATAATTATGATTGTCTAATATCTGTAAATTGCAAGTTTACATCTGACACAGGCTTGAACTTGTAACTGTCTGATTTTTTGTGAATTGCAAGTTTCATACTTTTTTTTTCTCATTTATCACACTTTTTTTTTATTTCTTGTTTTATATCTTTTATTATTTACCTTTATATTTCTGGTTTTTTTACATATAAAATCTTTTTTTTGTTTTTTTGCTTCTCTATAAGATGTCATCAGATTGGTAATATCTTATTGTAAAGCAGTAATCAGACAAGCAGTCTATTTCTGTTTGAGGTAATGCAGCAGGTTACACTTAGGTACCAATAAGATGGTCAGGTAATGCTGAACTTAAGTATTAGAAAAATTCTCTGTAATCTGTATAGTATCAAGAATTCTAATAAAGTACTAGCATGACTATTTAAGTTAAAAAAAAATGGTTTAACTGCTTTTTTGAACTATAAGATTCTAGAATTAGATAACACAATTTCTAGATCCAGTTTAAAAACATAATTATATTAATTTTAAAAAAAAACAAATAATCTAAATAATGTAAATAATTGAAGACTTATATTATTAACTAATAGTAATACAAAGATTTTTATAAAGATCTTAGTTATTAGAGTTAATAAATTTGTAATGCAATCATTAGTTATTCACAACAAGCATTTATAAAAAGATGATCAATAATAAACACAGCATTGAATATCAGCATTATGTTAAGAAATTAAAATAATCAGTTTCTTTTATATTGGCTAATTTTATTAGATTAGCAAAAAGCATTTGATAGAATAAGTCATAAATTCATTATACAAATGCTAAAAAAAATAAACTTTGATATCAGTTTTGTTAAAATCATTAGTACTTTTTTTAGTTTACAAGTAGTACACATTGCAGACTTAGAAAGATATCTAAATCTATAAAAATAAAAAAAAAGATAGGTAACAAAAAGATTTACTATTATTTCTGCTATATGTTTTGGCATTCAACCTACTAATTTTTAAACTTCAAAAAGAAATTCAAAAAATTTAATTTAAAATCAATACTTTAAAACAGTAATATATACTGATAATCTAATTACTAAAATCAAATTATTTGCAAACTAGAATAGAATTTTAATATTTTTTAAAAAATATAAAAAAACAGCTAATGCTAAAATTAACTAAAATAAATTTATTATAGTTTTTTTTTACAAACATAACATATTTGAAAAAAATTTCTAATAAAAACTCTCTCTTTCTCCATCTACATTCAGTAGTGAAAAAAAAAATTAACAAAACTATTAAACCTTTATTGAAAAAATTTACTAAAAACAACACAAGGGCTAAAACCCTTGTGCCCAGGAAAAAAAAACAAGCTTGTTTAACTATGTCTAGTTCAGTGTCAATGAGTTACAAAAATAAAAAAACCAAAATCACAAGCCTTAAAGAAAAGTCTAATCTTGGCTTCGATGATATAAGCAAAAAAATAAAACAAGAAGAAAACAACAGGTCTGATAGTCTTATTACTAAGAAAAAACAGGAAAAAGAAAATATGCCAGAGGTTGCTATAGAAACTTCTAAAGGCCAAAAGAGTAAAATAGCAGAACTTGAAGAAGAAGACTTGTCTTTAGTTGCTTCTTTGAGCAATAAAGATCAAATTTCAGATGAACAAACAAAACAAACAATATGTGAGGAGCCTACATCCAATCATGTAAACAACCAATCAGAAGCCCAGGATAAACAATCCAAACCGAAACAGTGGTCTGATCTTTTCTTAAAATTGGAAAGAGGAAAAGCCACATACTCTATTTATTCTCTACAAAAAAGAATTGTTACCAAAAATGAAAATGTACTAATCTTTGAATTATTTAGTTTAGAAAACATTTTTACTACAAGAATCATAGAAGCTTTGAAACAAGAAATGGAAGAAGACTAGTTGCAGCCCAGCCAGTGATTAACAAAAACAAAAGAACCCATTTAGAGGTTATGTTTTCAGATGAAAACAAACAACAGCAATATGCAGCTGAAGGTGTTAGTATCTTACAAGAGTATATTTCTATAAACATCAGACGCAACTTTCTATCAGTCAGAATTTAAAATGTACCAATGGGAAAGAAGGAATTTATTTCAGAGCAAATTAGAGAAGCATTCCAAGATATTGGCATAATCTTATTGATTAAATCACTGATCCATAAAGGAACCTCTATAATGTCAGACCAGTGGATTATAATCTTTAAAACAACAGATGACCCAGATTTGACAAGTCGAATTCCTAGATTTACATATGTTTGGGACCACAGAGTCACTATCGACTGGAGAGAAGCCCCAAAGATGTGCTTCTTCTGTGACAAAGCAGGTCATATAAAAAAAGACTGCCCAGACTACAAACTCTCAGTTGAGGCTAGAAACCTATACAAACTATGAAAAAAACAAAAAAAAACAAAAAAAAATTTAGCTCCAACAACACATAGAGGAACCTTTCGAATTCAGTTTAAAAAATCCCTATGTAAACAAGAAACTAAAAAACAAAAATACTATGAACAACTTTATGGAGAAACTTGAAACAATGAACACAGAAGATGATAACATCATAATGCAAAATAAAATAAAATCAAACACAGAGATGTCAACAAGCAACAATGAACAAGAAAGTCAATCAGAACATCAAACAGTATTAACTGAGGACAAGTCAAATATGGAATATGAAAACATACCAGTGGACTTACTTGCAAGTTTGTACAACAATGTATGGGCAAACAATACTGATCCTATAGATAAAGAAAATGAACAAGGTTTTACTGTGGTTTCCAGAAAAAAGCATAGAAATAAAAGCAGAATTGCAATCCCAAAAGTGGAAAGAACTACAGTTCTAGGGACATCAGCTCCCTATACAAAAGCCAGAGAACTGCAATAGGCACAACCTCAACCTTTACTTTTTAAATTATTTTTTAATGATTAAAAAAATCAAAATTGCATCACTAAATGTCAAAGGACTAAACAACAAAGAAAAAGCATACAAAACACTTATACTGTTAAAATCATACTACTTGGACATAATTATGATTCAGAAAACTAATTTAGAAAATATCCATGCAAGAAACTTTTTAAAACAAATATGGGAGTTTGACTCTTACTAGACCTCCAAAACAGCAATACTTATAGGAAATCATGATATAAAACTGGAAAATATTAGAAAATTCTATCATGGACAAGTAATATCAGCAAACCTCATACACAAACAATATTCTTTTTAATTAAACAACATATATGCTTCTCCAAACACAGAGGACAGAGTATGCTTTTTTAATAATTAGAACCTGCAACTTAATGAGAAACACATTAACATAGTAGCAGGTGATTTAACACAAATCTGAATTTACAAAAAGATCATATTAGCCATGCACCAATTGCTAATGATCCTTCAAGAAAATTACTAAAAGAAATTACTTCAGACCTGATTGATACAGCATCACTATTAAACAACCAGGAACCTTTTCTTAC